CGGGCGGTGAGCGTGAGGCGGGGAGGAGGTGCGGCGTGTGGATGCGGGTCTGGCAGCGGCGAGCGTGAGGTGGGGAGGAGGTGCGGCGCACAGCTTGTGTGGAGCCGTGAACAGGGCCAACTAATCAGAGGCCGATTAATCGATGATTGAAAAAGTTGACAACTTTTTCAATAATCGATTATGTCGATTCGTTGTTGCAGCCCTAGCCGGGACCAGCTGTCATTACAATGAGAGCTCGGTGGAGCCGGCAGTGATATCAAGGCCGGCTCCGTTAAGCTCTCATTGTAATGACAGTTCAGCATCCCCTGGTTACCTGGTAACCAGGGGACGCTGAAATGTCATTACACACTGAGAACTCGGCGGAGCCACCGTGATATCAGATCACAGCATTGCATTAGCTCCCTGTTATCTGCTGATTACCCTGCTATGTTTTTTTTCTATTATTTGGACAGCTGCCACAGGCTGCTGTCAAGAGTGAAGAAAATAAAAAACTACAAATAGCATATGAATGAATAGCTAGGCTGCTGGCCAATAGCTGCAGTGGCTCCTATTTATTAATACCTGGGTCCCTATGGAGCATTCTCACTCTCGCTTTCTCTCTCTATCCTTTATATCAGCATCACCCTACACAGGCAGCGTATCCATGCACAGATCCCCTGCTGATCGGAGCAGTTTGGAATGGAAATAACTCTTGTCCTATGTGTCCATTCATTTTTTTCTTGCAATGGAGGAAGAAACTGAACTTACCGGACCCATGTTAGGTTTATGGGGGGTTCTGTTTACATCCAATTACCTCCAATCCGCCATGATCAGAACTCTATTCAGTTTTTTTTTTTTTTTTTATAACAGGTCTTATAGAGTCTGGGGTAATTTAGATGTAAACAGAGGCACATCAGTTTACATCCGGCTGCCCGGATGGACGGATGGACCGTGTAAAATGGGTCTAATGCAGCTTCCTGTGATGGTGTGGCAATGCTTTTGCATTGCTCCTGATATCAGAGCAGAGTTGCCACTCTCATGTAGGCTGTGTCTGCTTGCACTACAGTAGAATGAAAGAAATGTTGCAGGGGGCATGGTTATCAGCATGGCCACTGTTGATTCACATGCCTGTAGCTTGTCAATCAGCACCTGGCTACACTTAGCTCTGCCCACTGCTTTCTAACCTGACAGCATTACCTATGTTGCTAAAACCCTCCCAATGTGTGCTGCAGTGCCTGGGAGGGGGAGCATGTGAGACAAACGCGGAAGGATTCGGCTTAGTTGGGTGGAAGGTAAAGGAAGATTTTATTTACTTTATGGGGCTTATCATCAGAAAGTGCTAAATTTGGGACTTTAGACTGTCACACAACAGCTTTTAGATGTACTGTGAATAAACTTTATTTTCATTTACAGAATAATTCTGAGGATGAGTTGGATGAAAGAAATGGCCTGACGCAGGGTGACAAACTACGTGCCTTAAAGAGCAGGAGGCAGCCCCGGTCCGCTACCACTGGTGCACTACGGTAAGCATAAAGTGCTAATTTTAGGATAGGGAAAAAAGGCCATATTGTCAGTCATATAATAACTCTACCTGCCAAACGTTTGGCTTAGTAAAAGTGGACAGGCTTGTATATTTCAGTGCAGCTTCGCATGGTAACAGTACAGTAGACAGCACCAACATGGTTATTTATTTTGTGTCCTGTGCAAGCCCTACTTTTTTCAGATATATACAGTTTTTCACGGGATTAACCAGAATCATGCATATTTGAGAGAAGGATAAAGCTATTATCCTAAGTAACACGGATAAATCTAAGTTATTTACCAGAATAGATTATTATTTTAAAGGGGCAGTCCACAAGTGGGTAATTTCTTGGCTTTCGATATGTCATTGATACTGCAAATCACATCAGACAGAGAGAGCGGGAACCTTTCATTATGATCATAGCAGGTATGGAGAATAGCAACAATAGCACAAGCATAGATATCCCACCACTAGAGTCTTCGAGAGATATAAGGGGTTTGACTATTCAGCATTTGCCAAAATTGAAATATCAATTTATCATGGACTGATCCTTGAAACATATAAATAATGGTAAAACCTCCATTCGCTTAGCTGTCACTTTTTTGCAGATTTTTCAAGACAGAGGCATGGCACTCTAAAGGGTAGAACATTGGGCCCAAAAATGGGATTTAAAATCTCTTATTGTTTTTTGCAGGTTGGATGAAATGAAACCACACACAAGATCAACGTCTCAGCCTTTCAGGTATTTTCCTTTTTATATCCCTGTCTAAGCTCAGAGGTGTCCATGCTTAGAGAGCCACTGTGTTTTTGTGAAATTATGTTGTCATAAAAGTCCTTATAGTCAATGAATTATTTATGTATGTCACTGGGAGGGGATATTGGGGTTCATCTAGAAAGAAAAATTAATTTACGATTTGCTGAAGTTTGCCTGTGTTTTTGTGGTTGTGAATATTTCTACCTTTTTCCAAGCCTTTTAACACTATCTAAATGTGTCTATGTGAGCAGGGCCGGCCTTAGGCCTTAGGCGCTCTGTGCGAGAAAGCTTTACAGCGCCCCTCAGTGACCACACCCCTCAGGGACCACACCCTTTATTTGCACACCCCCGTAACCACACCCATTTTTCCACAATATCTACACCATTTAAAGACTCTTATTTGGTTAAGCCGCAAAGAAACCTATTAAAAAGTATGATAAAAATAAAACTTTTATTCAAAGGTATTAAACTTGTAGCACAATATAAGTATTCTTATCAAATAAAACAACAGAAGGTAAACAATAAATGTCAAACTAAAATAGAGTCTATATAAATAAAGTGTCAGGATGTCATGCCGATCCCTTTTTTTCAAGTAAGTGCATCTAGAAAAGTAAAAATAGAAAACAGAACACAAAACCTAGACTAAATGTAAAATTAATGAATTACTGTATGTCTTAATATATACGAAAAATATATTCAGGCGCATAATAATTTGTTTGAGAATGTGCGGCGGCCATGTTGGCGTTGCGTCAGGTGACGTCACACTCCGATATTGGCCCCACTATCTTGGTGTATACCTAGATATACACACCAAGATGGCGGCGCCCAACATGTGCGGTGTTATATGACATCATGGGCCCTGGCTCCAGAACACGCCAGTGGCTGAATCCAAAATAGCATAAAAATTTGTTTTGTTTGATGAAACAAATGAAAACTTTTTTAGTTTTCGTTCATTTCATCTGAAATGAATTTTTAGTCTTCACACATGTCTAATAATACGTATGTGTGTGTGGGGGGGCAGGGGGGCAGGGGGGCTGTTTTCATTTTTTTAAATCAACTTTTAAATTTTTTTCATATTTTTTTATTATTTATTTATTTTTTACTGTTGGGGGGCTTCGGGAAATATTAGGGGTCAAAACAGACCCCTGACATTTCCCTTTTAAAATAGAAAAGAAATTGAGGACACCAAATCCTCAATTTCTTTTTCTGCAGCCTCAGCACTCAATGAAGGGAAGCTCTCAGTACAGAGGCTTCCAATTCAAATATTTACTATCAGCTGTTTCTGAATGGGGAGGAGCCTCTGTACTGAGTCCTTCTCCCCATTGAGGAAATCTTGAATGAACAGGCTGTGATGTAAATCACAGCCTGTTCAAAATAAAGATGTTGCGTTATTGTATGAAAAGAAAATGATGCGCATTTCAGGGAAATCGACGGGGAGGGGGTTTGTACGTTAAAAAAAATATTTGTAATATTTAAAGGCATAAAACATGGGGAATGTGTTGCAGAGATGTACTGCATTTGTTTTAAATTTCCTCACTGCTGCCGTAGGGCATACTGCGGGGCCGGCACAGGCTTTGAAACACACTCCAAGCTTCTATAGCAGCCAGGACTGTATTCAACCTACTCAAGCCGACTGTCAGATTTGTGTTAGAAGTGATTCTGGAACCATACAGCTACCTGATCATTTCCATAGGACTAGAATCTACGCCTTGTCGGAACCCCACTCCCATCCCATCCCTCCTTTCACCATGGATCCCAGGCAGGTCCAGGATCAGCATGGCCGCTGTGTCAGTCATTCGCTTATCTTCCCTCCAGTGAATCAACTCGGAAGTCACAATTCATTTTTCACTTCCGGTTTCAGAGTTGTCATTCCCCGGCCACAGCCGATCTGTGCTTGATCATAAATAGATATAAAAGACACTGGAGTTTTTTTTATGTGCCAAACACTATTCTTGTTGAGTAAAAAAAACAAAAAACATTAAGCCATACATATATGCTAAAATCTTAGATAACCATCAACCCTCCTATTCATCATAAGTGCCTCCATGCCACTGACTCATAACACTCATTGCATAATTCAAAACAGAGATTAACCTCTTGCCGTCCGCCCGTAGTAGAAAAACGGACGGACGGCACTGCTGCATCTGCGGGCACGCACGGGCAGAAAAGACCCGATCAGTGCACACACCCGTTACCGGGTGTTACACATATAGGCGATCAGCGGGTCCATAGCCCGCCGATCGCCTATATGTTGGGGGATTGTTATCCCCCTATATAATAGCAATAACAATAAGTGCAAAAAAAATAAATAGAAATAAAAATAAATAAAAGTAACACATAAAAAAGTTAAATAAACTAAACGTCACATATAAAAAAAGGGGAAAAAACCCCCCCAAAATGTTTAACTCCCCCACCCCCACGTTTACGCGCCTATAAACGTAAATACGCGTCCGGTGCCCCAGCGCGCAAAAATTACAATTGCGCTACACATGTTACATATCGCCGCGAACGTCGCAGTGAGAGCAATCATTTTAGGGCCATCAATCACTGATAACACTAAACTGATGAGCGGTAACAGCTTTTAAAGCGTCGCCTAGGGCCAATTTTGGGTATTATCGTTTTTTGAGGTTTCGCGCGCGCACGCAATTTTAAGGCTTGACATGTTTAGTGTCTTTTTACCCGACGTGACCCCATCTTTTATATTTTACCAAAAAATTGGGTAATAATAAATGTTTTATCATTTAATATAGGGGAAACTGTTTTTTTTTTTAAATTTCGGTAATTTTTCCTTAATATAGTAAAAAAATAAAACCCCCAGTGGTGAATAAATACCACCAAAAGAAAGCTCTATCTGTCCCCAAAAAAGGGTATAAAATTCATTTCAGTACAGCGCTGCATGACGGAATAAATGTCAGTTAAAGTACCGCAGCGCTGAATACTGAAAAATGGCCTGGATGGGAAGGGGGTTTAACACCGCGGATGTCAACTGGTTAATTATCACAAAAGTACATAAAGGGTTAGTTTTCTTTAACTGGTGAGTCACAGTGGTCAATTTCAACACATTTTGCTACTTGCTTCCTCAGGATTGGAAGTACTCTATAGCATGGCATGAAAAAACAATGGCAAGTAGATCTACATTTAATAGATAGATGTCAGTGCATTTGTTATTATGTCCAGGGGGGTTATTCACAAAGCTGCCGAAGGCAGCCGAGTGAATAATCGAGCTGAAGTGAACAGAGCCGAACGACGTTCGGCTATTCACTCCGGCTCAGTACGGCTGTCTTCAGCATACATCGGCTGAAATCAGCCGTACATCGGCTGCCTTCGATCAGCCGAACATGCTCTGCATCTGGATTGGCTGAGCCGAAGCTCGGGCAGCTCACTCTCTGCCGTTCGCCCCTGTTCTCATAGGGACTGAACAACAGTGAGTGAATAGCCAAATGCCGCCAAGTGGCATTCGGCTCCGCTATTCTGCTTGGTACCTCCGTGGTACCGAGCAGAATAGTAAATCAGTTAACAATTTTTTTTTTTTTAATAAACAGTAAAATTTTTAAATAAATAAAGGTATTTAAAAAAAGAAAAAAAACATAATAAAAAAACAATTGGGCGGCGCTAGCAGTGACAGCTAGCTCCGCCCAACTTGTTTCCTATTGGCCGACACCTGCTAGAGTCTTCTAGCAGGTCCCGGCCAATGAATACCAACTGGGCGGAGCCGGCTCCGCCCAGTTGTTATGGTTTAATGACAGTCCAGCATCCCCAGGTCATTTGGGGACGCTGATCTCTCATTTAGAACTGGGAGGAGCCAGCCGTGAGATCACGGCTGGCTCCAACCAGCTGTCGTTTGCAGGGCGAACATACAGTAAAATTTTTAAATAAATAAAGGTATTTAAAAAAAGAAAAAAAACATAATAAAAAAACAATTGGGCGGCGCTAGCAGTGACAGCTAGCTCCGCCCAACTTTTTTTCTATTGGCCGACACCTGCTAGAGTCTTCTAGCAGGTCCCGGCCAATGAATACCAACTGGGCGGAGCCGGCTCCGCCCAGTTGTTATGGTTTAATGACAGTCCAGCATCCCCAGGTCATTTGGGGACGCTGATCTCTCATTTAGAACTGGGAGGAGCCAGCCGTGAGATCACGGCTGGCTCCAACCAGCTGTCATTTGCAGGGCGAACGACCGGCCTTCGGCAGGCCGTTCGCCCCACTTCGGCTGTCACTTCGGCTCAGTCGAGCCGAAGCATATGCCTACGGCTCAGCTGAGCCGCTTGGCCGCCTACGGCTGCTGTACGGTCTATAGTGAATAGCCCGTACACTAGCCCCTCGGCCCCTCGTTAATTGACTGAAGCTACGACTGTATCCTTCGGCTCCTTCGTGAATTACCCCTTAAGTATTTGCTGCTGAGGATTTGCATAATGGGCAAAGCAAATGTTTGTTTCAAAGCTTACGTGCACTTTCGAAAATGTGCATTGATCCTTCCTGCCCCATTAACCCTGCCAGGGGCAATATATGTCAGCATGGCCGCTCTACCAGATGTAGACATGGTACCATATCTCTACCTGGGGAGCATGTGACAGGGTGACAATGCAGGAGCACAATTGGAATACAGGGACAGAACCTTGTCACCCTGTAACATGATGTGTCTCAACAAGGCAACAAGGATCTTCATGGAAGTATCACCAAGATTAAAAAGTACGTTTGATATTACATTAACATGCTAAAGCTTGTATGAGATTTAGGTAATTGGGTATAGATGTACTTTAACTGTTCATGAGGAGGATACTTTCAGCTAAAAGTAGGAGTTGAGACACATAACTGAGATCCTAAAATAATTATGTTTGCCTAAAGTTCTTGTTTAACATGCTATTAATAATAGAAAGAATCTTTAGAACCAATGCACCTCACAAAAGTAATCTGATCTTCCTTACAGGCTCCATATAATGGCAAACTGGGAGTGAAAGTAGGATGAAACAGAGTGCACCAGACAAAACACCCTTTATTTGGTAAAATTATAATAAATTGCACTTAATGACTTGATCAGAGCATGTAACCAGGTAAATCAACACCGACTGGATGCCAGGTCATCATACCCTTACTGCAACTATTATTTCTGGAAAAGCCAACAAGAGAAGAAATAGCATGCAGGGATGGAGAAAGCTGTGGAATGACTCTGAGGCACAACAGGGGTTAAAATTGCTAAAAACTCATCCAGAGTGGTGAAACTGCAAGGGTACTGGGTTTGCAGACGTGACATTAGTACCCCAACATACATTTTTGATAATCTGATAAGTGGGGGTACTAATGCCCAGGCTTCTGACTGTGTCTCCTTGCAGTTTCACCACTCGGGGGAATTTCACAGCTTTCTGTATTGTTGCATGCTAACTTTCCTCTTGACGGCTTTGCCAGAAACGATAGTTGTTGTATCTGTATGATAACCTGGCATCCGAAGCAAGTCAATTTACAAGTTAAAAAATTCTGTTCAAATCACTAATTTGTAAGTGCCATTTATATTTATTTTACCAAATAAAGGGTGCTTTGTCTGCACTATCCAGTGCACTCTGTTTTGTTCTGCTAATGCTATTAATAATATGATAAGATAGGATAATCACATTCTTGATATCTATTTTTAGGAACTGTAGACCCTTTTACCTTGAATGTCTCCTCATAGTTTGAGATGTTCTTGTATCTCTTAGAGTAATCGCTTCTAACAGTGCACAGGGCTCCATGTCGCCGCTCAAGTCCTCTAGAGTTACAGCATCTTCATCAGCAGTTGCTAGGAGAGTTGGACAAAGTTCAGGATCTTCAAGCAGCAAAGCAAAAAGGTAAATGCTACAATCCAGTGGATGTAATCTGAAAACTGAATGAGCAAGCTGTTGGCATTTCGGGAGCTCCAAAAGACAAATTCCCTAAGGCTCTTTATTAACAATAAATTGCATAAACACAGTATGTGCCCTGAAATGATTATTGTTACTATCATTTGATATTAACAGTTTTACTGAATTTGAGATCTAAGACATAAGGCTTGTTTATATTTATATAAGGGGAATTACATGTTCAGTAAATGTTAGATTTAAATACATTCCTACAAGAAATGCATGATCCTTGCATAGAATATAACTGTAGTGTTTTTCATTCAGCCCATCGGTAGGAATAAAGTAGGGTACACATGAAGCGGATTTCCGCTGAAATGTGCTGCGTTGGTGTCCCTATTCCATCATTAGATCGATTTCTGCCGAAAGAACATGATGGATAATCTTTGGCTGCACTTACTAAATTGCATTGTTGGCTGTGGCGTTCCTAAATTGTGTGCACTTTGCAGTCAGTGCCCTAATCAGTCTCATTATTTATCACAGTCACAGTGCATTTCCTAACTGCTGTGTTCACTATAGCGGTCATAAATTCCTTGCACTTCTAGCTTAGTGCTTTAAACCATCATTATCAGTCATCATAGTTATAGTTCATTCCGTTGGTGGTGTTCACTACAAGTTGTAACAAATTTTTCTCATTTGAGTGGCCCAGGTATTTTTACATCAGCATTGTAACCAGTGGTGTATTTAGGTTTTGTGCTGCCCTAGGCAAGACTACACCCGGGCAACACCCCCCCCCATCTAAATTTGCTCCTCCCCTTCCTGTATAAGACATTTTGCATAACCTGTCAGTTGCTGGCTACAACGTGCACACTGTATCCAGCTTCTGACAGGTTGCATTACTACCTTGTAGAACCCACCACAGACCCTGCAGAGCCCAGTATAGACCCTGCAGAGTCCACCTGGGACTCTCAGGATGGCTGATCAGGATCTATGGTGGGCTGTGCAGGGTCCCTTTCCCTGCACACATGTGCTTCTCCACTTACCTTAAGTCCCTCCAGCCAGCCTCCGGGTCATACCTCCAGCCGGTCGCTGGAGCATTTATGTCCACACAACTTTACATGTATCACAACATCCAAGAGCTCCACATCCCCCCAACGCTGTAACGTTTGGTGGCCATTAGGGAGGGATTTCAGTGGGGTCACTCTGCTCCTTCCAGCATGGTGGCCTGCATGTATATAGCTCTGACATATACTGCAGTGCTGCACAGAGAACACCGAGTCAGTCAGATCAGTCTCTGTACAGAGGAGCTTACACTCTAATGCAGAATGGCTTCGGCTGTAGGGGGACTACAAATCCCAGCAATACATTATACAGCAATGCAGAACAGTATATTAATTGGACTCTGGAGTTAGTGATGCACTGGGCTCAGGAATACGTGACGCACTGGGCTCAGGAATACGTGACGCACTGGGCTCAGGAATACGTGACGCACTGGGCTCAGCAATACGTGACGCACTGGGCTCAGCAATACGTGACGCACTGGCCTCAGGAATACGTGACGCACTGGACTCAGCAATAAGTGATGCACTGGACTTCGCAATAAGTGACACACTGGAATCAGGAATAAATGACGCACTGGACTCAGGAATACGTGACGCACTGGACTCAGAAATACGTGACGCACTGGAATCAGGAATACGTGACGCACTGGAATCAGGAATATGTGACGCACTGGACTCAGGAATACGTGACGCACTGGACTCAGGAATAAATGACGCACTGGACTCAGAAATACATGACGCACTGGATTCAGGAATACGTGACGCACTGGACTCAGGAATAAATGACGCACTGGACTCTGGAATAAATGACGCACTGGACTCAGGAATAAATGACGCACTGGACTCAGGAATAAATGACGCACTGGACTCAGGAATAAATGACGCACTGGACTCAGGAAAACAGTGGACTTAGCAGTAAAAACAAAAGAACACTTAGAATAAGCCCTCCCCAGGCCCAGATACCTGCTTGTTGCTGTCCTCTTAGTTGGTGCAGCCTCAGCCTGGTCACTTGTCAGATGTTCCGCCTCCTGCAGAGCCGCACAGGACAGCAGCGGCTGTGAAGACAACCTGGAGCCTCTGTGCTGTCTGGCACCGCCTTCATGCTCTCTGTCCCTGTCAGCGGGCCTGGGGCAGCAGAGCGGCATCTCACTCGGGCCCCGGCACAGCTCCGCCTCCAGTTCCGCCTCAGGCCCTCCTCCACCCCGCCTCTTCCTTTACCCAGCCTTTCTCTTAGCTAAATTAAGCGGGCGCGGGACCCAAGGAGCGGCCGCCTAATGTGCCTGATTAGGCAGCCGAGGATGCCTGATTCTGTGCGACCCGGCTCGCCGCCCCCCTGCAAAGTGCCGCCCAAGGCAAACGCCTTGTTTGCCTTATGGTGGATATGCCCCTGACTGTAATACATAAGGTGGTTAGCAGGCATTATGCAGTTCAGTTTTTTAGCCTGTAGTGGCAAGTAAATTAAAGTTACAGAATCAAGAGTTTCTGAGTTAGTTTCCTGCTTGCCCTCTGTGCAGTTCAACAGCCCTAAACACGGAATAATCCACGGAACAATTAAAATGCCTTCTTTTCTTCTAACATTTTTAGATATGTGTTCAGGTTCAAAAACAAATGACACGTGGGCACTTTATAAGGAATGTTTTTATCTGATTATATAAAAAGTGAGTTTTTACACTGCAAACTGGATCAGGAAAAGAAATCGGCCAATTTGTTGGCACAGCAGAATTTAAAAAAGTTTGCTTATCTTTACCCACAAATTACCTGAAGAAAGATTATGGTGGCTTTAATGGCCTGGTAACTTGTGATTTTGTTCACCAGCATACGGGTTTTACATATGTAGATTTTGTGAAAAGAACACTATCTATGGGACAGGAAAAATCAAAACAGAGCAGCTGGCAGTGTAGATGTTAACACCTTTGTCTCTCTTAGATTTCAGGCTTCTGAATTTCTGCGTGGGATAATGTAGGATCTTTTCATGTGACAGTATCATTATGTCATTTCCCTAATGACTACAGTATCAATGAGAGCTGCCACATTAGTTCACTAGAAAAGCTCAAATATACAGTATGTATTCTTACAGCTTACATGATAAAAATGTATGTCCATTAGTACTTATTTTAAACTAGTGTTTTACTTATAATCCAATAAGAGCCATGCGGCAGGATATGCCTGCAAGGTTCAAATACATAGAGAACTGTCCCAATTCTGTTCTATTTACACTCTTACCCTAGAGGAACTGGCAAAATATTTTGCAGATCTTGGAGAACCCCTTCTAAAATATATACTGGTATACCTACAGTTCGTGGTACATTAGAGTGAGCACTGAATTGTAAAACATTTTATATATTGGGATAATGTGACATACCTAGAATATTTGACACTCTGGGCAGACCATTTTTACACCTGCTTACTTCTACTCTGTGCAGCAAAATCTTAAAATATAATGAATAATAACAGAAGAGAAACGCAAAGAGTAAAAATTGTGTTGTCCCTTAACATTAGTGGTCAGTGTAGAAGTGCCCCCTTGCATTAGTGGTCAATGTAGAAAGGAGGTCAATTGGCCATTGCTTACTGTTCAAGGAACCCCTAGAAAACCTCAGGAGGGAGCCTAGGGTTCCCCGAAACCCTGGTTGAGAAAGGCTGCTTTATTGACTTCTTATTCTCAACCATTCATAAATACATTTAGCAAAAACATGGAACCAAACTGATACAGTAAACTTAAAGGAGAACTATGGGGTTAAGGCTTTTCCCCATAGTTCTTCTTAGGGTAACGGGAGGACACAAACTAGCGTCCTCCCGTCACCCTAGGCTCAGTATACCGCGAGCTGTAGCTCACGGTATACTGAGACGCCGCAGTATACCGCGAGCTACTGCTCGCGGTATACAGAGACGCCGCAGCTAAAGCGGATCCCGACAATTGTGCCGGGATCCGCCAACTGCGTGACCGACAGCTGGCTCTGCCTATCTAGAGGCAGAGCCAGCTGTACCCACCCCCTCCCCCGTCCGTTCCGCCAGTCAGCGCTGGCGGATCGGGGAATCCAGCCCCTCCCCTGTCACGGCAGAGAGCCGTGACAAGATCGAGAGGTGAGCGAACGCCGGTTTGTGTTCGCTCACCTCCCGATCTACTGAGCCGACCTGTGACAGTCTCACTGGGGGGATTTATCAGAACTGGAGCAGATAGAATCTGGAGCAGTTGCCCATGGCAACCAATCAGCATCTCTTTTCAGTTTGCTCAGGTAAGGTTTGAAAATGAGACAGAGAAGCTGATTGGTTGCCATGGGGAACTGCTCCAGAATTTGTCTGCTCCAGTTTTGATACATTCCCCCCTTTGTATTCCAATTATCCATTTAGCCGTTTGCCCTGAGTTGCAGTTTAACTGAATAAATGCAACATGGAACATTCCGCCCATTGCATGTTTACTGGTAATCCCAAAGGATTTGTCCTATTGGCCAGATATTCTTTTAATAACTACCTCTGCTAGACAGTAAGATCTGCTACTCCCTGCTTTATTATTACTGATACCTGCACCAGTTTTGCTGCTTCCTAGGTCAGCTCTCTGCTCACTGGACATAGGTGATGATCATGATTCAGTGTGTCCTATAAGAGGCCTAGAGGCAGAGAGGTGACATGGGAACCGAGAAGAGAAATTGCTTATTTAAAAACTATCCTTTTCACCTGTCTGGGTGTGCAGTGTGGAAGATGTGTGTAAATCACAAAATTCACTGTACAAAATGACAAATCTTTTGCCAGGTTAAACAATAAACATGTATGTATTTTGTATGTTTTAGTTGTTTGCCTGGAGTTTTGCTTTTATAACTAGTGCTACTGTAATTCCACTTTTTTACTTCTGCTGCCAGTGGCTGAGACACTCTGGCGTAAAAAGTCCATTCCCAGTTATGCATTCTATCACAACATGTAATAATTCTAATTGAATGCATCTGATCGATTTCTATGCATTCAGTGCATGGTGTAAGCTGTTAGATTCTGGGCTACATGGCCTTAGAAAATCTACAGCGATTAGATCAGTAAATACCAATTAAACTCTTGACTCACTTCCAGATCAGCAAAACAATGCTCATTTCACTTCCGCTCCCCAATGCACTGCTTCCTTTATGTGGAAACTTCCCAGAAGACCAGGAAAATCCAACGTCTGCTTTGTTTAATCATTTACAGGGAACTTTTTTGTAGCCACTCCGTCTAGCTTACATCACTCCTTAGTGTCAGGGGTCAATAAATAATAATGTGTTGACATTTTACCTCTGTGCTGTTCATTTCATAACTGAATTATGTATAATTTTCTGTTAGATGTTTTTTTATTAAATTTGAACTTTCATACACTTGCAGCAGTGACAACCTTGTTACATTTTATGTACATGTCTAAGATTGTCAGTAGCAGTAAGAATGAGTTTGCATGCTCCTACAGTATTGTCATTAAAGCTTGACTTACAGTAAGGTTTAAAGTGGAAGTTCACCCTTCAATTACTGCATGAACATTAAACATCCATATAACACTTTGATACATGTATAGCACCATGTTTGAATTCTGTGCCCGCTCTGCTTGTCCAGCAATGAGCATTGGAAACTGCCACCCATTTACCAGCGACATCATGCAACTCAGGGTCTTGCTCATCCGCCCTAATGCAACATCTTGACATCAGGGCATAAAAGGAAGAGTTTCCCAATCAGGTTTAAAACATAAAACATAGATAGCTGAGCGACACCATGATTTGCATGGTGTCACTGGTAAATGACTTGCAGTTTCCAATGCTGATTGCTGGACAACAGGAGCACAGACATAATTCACACATAATATTATATATTTATCAAGGTTCATGTGTTATATGGCTGTTTACTGTTCATAGAGTAATTTGAGTGTGAACTTCCACTTTAAGTTGGTCAGCTTAGCAAAATGTATCAACATGGTCAGAGGTGTAACTAGAACCTTCAGGGCCCTGGTATAAGAACCATGAAGGGCCCCCCCAACCCCCCACTGCCATGGCACCGCTTGATTAACAGGAAGGCTGCCGAGATCCCCAGCAAGCGCGGGACCTCAAGCAGCTGCTTCAGTTTAAAATTTAGTGCTATTTTCATTTAGTGCTGGTGTTCTGTAGAGGACGCCGACCCAGTATCTGCACTTGTGCACAAACGGGATTAATGAGGAAATCGGCATTTATTTACAAAGTATTAGTGTGTAATGGTTAATTGTAGGAATGCACCGATACCAGTTTAGATACCAATGCCGATACTTGGCATTTTCATGAAAACTGCCAGGGTTGTAGCGGTTGCAGCTGGGACCTGGCTCTGGCACTCCGCCCCTGAAATCATTAGTCGATATTGTTTTAGAAAAACTGTCACATGACAATCAACAAAAATGTATCAGTACTTGTATCTGTAAGTACTTGGGCAAGTATCAGTACTTGTACTTGGAAAAATGGTATCGGTGCATCCCTTTAAATCATACATTAAAACAGAGATGTACAAATTCCAGGAGCTCCGTGTGCTCCTTACAAATGCCAGCTGCCTCCTAACTTTTAAATTTTTCTCTAATCTAGTCCTGGAGCTGGAAAAGTATCTGTACTTGTACTAGTACCGAGTACGGTACTTGGTATCGGTGCATCCCTAGTTAATTGTGGCCGTTAATAATATGCCATCCATTGCAGTAAATGATGGATCGCAGTAAATGACGGATGGCATATTATTACGGGCACAATTAACGCTTTCAAGTAAATATTTTGTAAATAAATCCCTGTTCCCTCGATATAACTGGTCTGTGCGCAGATGCTGAGGTCAGCAAATTCGGCTACGTCGGCATTCTCGACAGAACACCGGTATCTCCGCTTAGTATCGGGGCATTTTCACGAGTATGAGTATTCGTACCTGGAAGTACCTGCAGCACATTCTGCTGGACAAGTGACAGCCTCTCTGGCCCCATACAGCCGCCCGTACATGCTGCGGGTGGCAGAGCGGCAGGGAAGGAGCAGCACTATCTCGGGAGGGCCCTCTTCTTCCTCTCGGGGCCCCCCCAACAGGCGGAACACCAGGGCTTGGTTGCAATTGCGACCCTGGTAGTTCTGCAAATGAACATGGTTAATGCTGGGCCCATCCTAAGCAGACCCTTTATATCCTGTTTAGGAAGATAATTCTGATAAAACATAGTTGCTGGTAACAGCTAACCAATATTCCTGTATGTTACAAATTTTAAAAGAGAACTCCAACAGGATACAGAATTCATGTATACATTTACATGTATTATATTTATATGTTGTACCTACATTTGTATATGTATGTATATATATATATATATATCTACATTTAAATGCACCAAACTGTGCAGTGAAAGGGTTTTGGGCCAACTAGAGCACTAGCAGACTGCTCACATGGCTGAAAATTCAAGCAGTCATTTATTCCTGAGTCCAGTGCGTCACTTATTCCTGAGTCCAATGCATCACGTCTTCCTGAGTCCAGTGCGTCACGTCTTCCTGAGTCCAGTGCGCCACGTCTTCCTGAGTCCAGTGCGTCACGTATTCTGCTTCTACATGTATCTGATTTACATATCGACATATACAGTATACTGGAAACTGATTTCTAATCTATATATTAGTTTTCTACAGAAATATGAATACAAAATATTACTATTACTGTAGCAAACTAATATAAAGATTTACTGGCAATTGTTCAGTCTGATTGGAGTTTTCTTTTATATCTTGCTGGATCAAGCTGGCTATCAGTGCTGTTTAAAAAATTACTTTCAGCTGTTTTGGACAGAAAGGATAATGGTTTCATCCTGTTAGGATTTTTTTCGCTGCCTGTAGCCTGGAGTATGAAATTTCATTGCACTTCCAGCCTTGGTGACCACATTGTCATTGGCACAGGAAGTGAAGGGAGATCTCCAAATGGGGGTCGCAGCAAAAAAACCAGACACGGGTTATAACCCTAACCTGTTCCTTCCGAAATGTTAAAGGTTTTGGCTGAAGTTCTAATTTACAGACAGTATTATCTGATAGGTTTCTGAATACGGCACTATGCTTGGTAGTTACCAATGTTTAATTTCACATCATGCTAAATTGTGTGTGTTTTTAATTACACAGTTACTGTAAGTGTAACATGTTTTCCTTATGTGTCTTTCATATACATTCAGCATCCTAAGCATGTCGTCAGAGCATGTCTGTTTGATGTGTTCCTGCTTGTTTATAAAGTGTGTCAATGCACATGTTCTGTCATTTCCCCCCTCGTGTTTTTTCCTCTCAGTTTCTCTGTAAATACGCGGTTTGCTGGCTCGCTTGGGAATCTCAACTCTGCTTTGGAAGAGCTAGAAGGTCCCCGCAGCTCCTCTCCCTCTCGCCCCAGCTACTCCCCAGCACACCCTTCCAGCTTCTACCCCTCCAGTCCACCTGGCCGAAACCAAGGCGAGTTCAACAACAACCGTAACTGGAATGTGTCCACTGCTGGCAATGACTCTTATGGATCCTACCGACCCTCATACACAGGCCTTTCCTCCACGGCACGTTACCTGAGTCGCTCTATTCCTGTAAGTGTCCTGACATCACTCCATAACTCCCATCAGGAGCAGGCTGCTAACAACTGCTTTATTCCTGCAACGGCTTGTATTAATGCTTTCCTGCTTATGTTAACTGTTATGCTGATTTTTTTGCCTTTTAAACAACAACTATAGAATATGAGGTAAAAGCATGGTAGAATACACAAACAGAACTAAGGAACAAAAGAAGAAAAGTCTGTTTACTTTATGCCAGTAAAGACAGGTATTGAGCAGAACATTGAACTCCATTGCCCGTGTGGCATTGCGAACATATTGTACTAAGAGGCATGTACTGTATAGAAATCTTCACAGTGCAGCTTTTCTCATCATTCCTCAAGTAAGTTTCATGTCATTTATAAAATCCCAAAGTGAAAACTACTGTATGCAAAGTGCTATGTAAAATGCCTGTAAACGGAAACACTAGACATTAAAAAATGGTGCAAAACTTGTTAAAAAGGTGATAGGGTAATTGACAGGAAAACAAAATCTTTGCCAATGAGAGGAAAGTTAATGTAGTATTTTTCTCTGTGAAAAATAATGCTATGTACCAGGCACTCAGTCCCTAACAAAAATAAATGAAATAAAAATACATCTTGGGAAAGGTTCTTTATAAATTGGATGACGTCTAGTGACGGGTTGATCTTAACTTGGGCCCCGGGCTGTTAGTGGGATCAAGAGGAGAGATAGTGCTAAAGGGGTTTTGGCTGGCACTGTATATAATGCTGGGGTATGTTGGGTGGAGATATCTTGCTAGAGGGCTTGTGTAAGGATTTCTGTGTATACTGCTAGAGGGGTTGGGGGAATCTATATACTGCTGGTAGGGGTAAGATGAAGGAATTATCAGAATATATACTTCCAGGGGGTATTGCTGGAGGGGTTGGGGAAGTACTGCTAGGACAATGAGCAGAAATGATGTTATGTATATAGTTTGGGGGTATTGTTGAAGGGGTTGGGTGGGGGTACTATTTAGACTGCTGGGGTGGGTTGGGGGTTATCTGTATATATTGCTGGAGGGTATGGAGGTAAGAGAGATTGTGTGTATACTGCTAGAGAGGATAGGGAAGAGGAGGTTGGGGCGAGGGGTAAGGTTCCTTATATAGTGTTGGGTAGTAGGAACTGTATATAATACTGGGAAGGAAAATGTTACATATATACCACTGGAGAGGTATAAACCTAGCCCCTATTTCTGTGCCAAAAGCAGCCATCATGAATAATAACAGGTCTGCACTGGAAGCTAACGGCTCTGCTGAGTGATCTGCTGCACTTCCCATGTTGTAATTTGCCTTTGAAGAAAAGCAACTGAAAAAAAAAAAGCAACAACAAAAAAACAATGGGAGCATAATAGTTTGGGCTGTTAATAAACACCACAAAAAGGGAAAAATTGATAAACGCACAGGAGAAGCATCTTTTATAGGCACCTTAATGTAGTTGTCAAGCTATGTGTGATTCTTGATAGCAGGCTTTTTATAGAGCACTTAAACTAGTTCCCTTTGGTTTGATGAGACATGATTCCCTTCTGGGAACCGACAAAAAAGCTATTTCATTTGTAATTGCTGGCAAAGAAAGAATACACTTTTTTGCTTAAAGGAGAACTATGAGGTGAGTGATTTCCACTCACCTCATAGTTCTAGCCGACCTGTGACAATGAGACTGTCACAGGTCGGCTCAGTAGATTGGGAGGTGAGCGAACACATACCAGGTTCGCTCACCTTCCGATCCTGTCATGGCTCTCTGCCGTGACAGGGGGAGGGGCTGAATTCCCCTCTCCCCGCTCCGATCTGCCATCGCTGCTGAAGGAACGGATGGGGGAGGGGGCTTTAGATAGGCAGAGCCAGCTGTCACTCACGCAGCTGGGCAAATCCCGTCATCTACGTCGGGATCCGCTCCGGCTGCGGCGTCTCAGTATACCGCGAGCTGTAGCTCGCGGTATACTGAGCTTAGCGGGAGGACGCTAGTTTGTGTCCTCCCGTTACCCTAAGGAGAACTATGGGGAAAAACACTGACCCCATAGTTCTCCTTTAAATGAATACCTGAGGTGTGTCCCTGTAAGTTCATTATTCCATTGTTGTGGACATCATAGGCAAGACCCTGTAAAGTGGCATCTACATGTATTAAACGTTTTAATCCCAACCAATCTAAAAATAATGTCTTCCTTTCAGTTTTGTCTGCATATGGGTTGTTACTGCTGCTGTTATTGGCAGAAGTATTATGAGTCAAAGGTTAGCTCAGTTTAATGGATATAAAGTATTTTTGTATGTGAAAAGCTTTCTCAGTGAAAACTTACATTCTAAGTCCAACTGGACTGGAAAAGTTCACTTGAACATTCTGCATTTACACCTAAATTCATAAAAAAATAATACCGTTGTAGGCACATTATTATTAATAAGAAGTTATTTAATTTGTATTACTCATGAACCCCTATACAGTGTGACATACACAACACACACACACACACACACACATATTTATATATACAGAAATAGTTTACTGCATATGTCAGTTATATCACATTTATATTACTGCCGTTGAATGGAGGATTGGATAAGATTGGGGGCTAGCTATTAGTTTGCTGCTAGGAAACCGTAGAACACATATTTAAAGGCAACCTCTGTTGACAGAAATAGGGTGGCAGCTATTGCTGGTTTCCCCAGTGACAGTCTCAGTGACCGGCTCCTTACTGCTCTCAGCACAGGTATACATTGGTGTGGTTACACTTGCTTTGCAGCTCCTGCCCTCAGTCTTAGCTGGCCATAGAAGGATCATATTTGTCCATTTCCTGCTAAATTGGACGAAATTCAGTTTGTTGGTGGCAAGCACCGCCCAGCTTGGCAAAAGCTTGGCAAAAGTCGATTTTTCAGATAATTTTTTGTTCGAAGGAGCCAGGTGGAAAATAGTGAGCCTAAGGCCTTGTTCACACCAAGCGTGTTCCAGGAGCAGAGCAGTTACAGAGCGGATCAAAACTGCGTCCAATGTATTCCAATGGTATTTTGGGCTCTAGTTCACACCGCAGCGTTCAGTTCCAGAGCATGTAAAAAAGCTGACGCAAGCCCTATTTTACCTGCTCTGGAACGCATGCAAACGCATCAAAAACGCATGCAAACGCCATGGAACGCACTGAAAGCTCATTTTAAACTAAAAAAAAATTTTTTGCAGCAAAAACGCAGCACAACCCACTGCGTTGCGTGTGCAAAAACTCATGCAGACCTGGTCTGCATTTGGTGTGAACAAGCCCTTACAGTGACAGCAGCCAGTCATCTACAGTTCAGGTATTCTGACAACTGGGAATGCTGTCAGAATACAACAACTAACAGGGGACATTACGCCAGTATTATACTCACCTGTCCTTGACCCAGTGTGATATCAGCTGTGTGACCTTGCCAGTGCTTCATAATCTAGAGCTCCCCATAGGTTTGTATGAGAGTGCAGAGTGACAAGATCACACAGTTGATTTCTCGCTAGATCAGAGATAAGTGAGTATAAGACTTTCCCTAAGGTGCAGTTACACTTTAAGAGCAAATTGTGGTCTGTGTAGACACATTTGTTTTTAAGTTTCTTTCCTTCAACTTACATAACAGAGCCTGGCAGAGACAGATAAATGTAAGCTAATTTAGGGTTTGCGTCGATGGACTTTTCTGGGAATGCAAAAGCTGATTATCTTGCAGTAAACTTCAAGGAAACTGACCCAGTAGCATTAAAAGTACTTTACTTGGCGAAAATGCTGCGTGTACAAACTTAGTTACAGTAAAAGCAAACAAATAAACAATACATAAACAAGACAGGCTGCTACAAACAAACCTTCACATGCACCCACTACACTATCTTCTAGTACATGTATGATTTCTAGGAGGGGAAACACTGAAAATGTACTTAGCTCAGGCTGCAGGCTCCACGAATTCCGCGATGAGCAGGACTTCTCAGTCTAGGAAAAATGGCTTCTCTGCTAAATCTTTTGTACAGTATGTCCTAGTCTTGAAGCAAGTTCTCTCGTCTTTGTGAAGCCCCCTCGTACTGTCCCCCTCCTGTGAAGCCCTGGTCTGGTGAAGTGCTGTCCTTCTCAACCTTTCAGCTACTGGCTTTTTATTGAGAGAAAACTGGCCTAAAACTTTGAAAGCGCCGCCCCTTTCACCTTTAGGAAAATGCAATACATTTCACTTTCCCACCTCTAGGTGGCAGCGTTGTACCATAAATTGCCATCAGTAGTCCAGATTTTGATTTGAATCTTGGCCAGGCTAGGTGTGACTGTTTACGATCACCATCCCATTGTATGAACCCAGTTTTCTATCAACAAACAAAACCTCCGTCTCTCTTGCAAATCTATGTGTGTCTGAAAAAGTCCACTAAGATATATCGCAACACACTAAATACTTTTTTGCCCCACTGTACATAACATACATTAGTGATGTCACCAAGATTAGCTGCTGCCTGTGAAGCTTCCAATGGCTGAAGCTGTGTGTGGGAGAGTACCTGCACATTATCAGTAACAGCAATGAGTTCTGATGGTTGGCACAGGAGAAAACCCAGCCTGTTCCTGCACTGGAGCCTTCACAGGCACCAGCCATGTGTGCTGGTAGTCCAGGAGGAAAGAGAGCAATGAGGGCTGTCCGGAAGTGTCACAGGTTGAAGAAAACTAAGCGGTCTATTCACTAAGCTGCCATAGGCAGCCGAGTGAACGACCAACCTGAAGCGAAGTGAGCCGAACGCTGTTCGGCTATTCACTTCAGGCTGGTACGGCTGATTTCAGCCGTATATCGCCAGAAATCAGTCGTACATCGGCTGATTTCAAGTGCAAGTAAATTGAATCATTTCAGAAACATCGCAAACTGATCTCAAATGCAAGCTGAAAAGCGATGCCTATTGACACAAGCCCTTAGAAATTATTTCCACAAACCTTTACAGTACATGTGTTGTTCAAGTGTGTGCAGACATTTTGAAAAAAAAACTGTGTAGTAGATTTCTTATATTTAGACAAATATCATCCAGTTTTCCTTTAATGCTTTCTACATGATTTGTATTGATTGTGGAATGGCTTAGGATAAATATAAATGTACTTACATTTGTTTTCTTTCAGTCCCTTCAGTCTGAATCTGTTCAGTTCTAAAGGATCGCACAGTCCCGTTAGCCCTGTCCCAGATCTGAATCCTTTGCCATGGAAGAACGAAGGAGAGACAAAGGGAAGGAATCCATTGTCCAGATAATATCTACTGTACAACACAAAGAGTGTATCAGCTATATCAGCAAATCTACACGTACTGTTACAATTTACTACTGACTGTTTTATTTTCTTTTAAAAACTTTGACACCTCTATTGATTTTTTTATTTTAGAAAATGATTTTTTTAGCGATTTGTTTTCTAGGGTTCTGTCCTGATTTGTACATATTGGGTCTTAAAATAAGAATGTGCTAATAAGACAAGAGGGTATTTTGTGATGTTTTAGAAGATGTATGTATTTGTTTATATCTTGCAGAATATATTTTCACATTAGGAATTGTTTGTAACCAAAAATCAAAGGATATATTTTTCTGTCTAGAATAATATTTTTATAATAATGTGTGCTGTGCTGATTGATTCTTATCAGGCGTATATTTCAAGAGGAAAACATTTGAAAACAAATTGCAAAAAAAAAAAAAAAAGGCTGCGTGTTCTGTGGAAGGTGATTGACAATTTAAAGGGAAAGAGAGGATTATGGGTACTTGATGAACTGATTTTGATTTCATATTTATGGGCACTGGCTATCCTGCTGATGCTGTTTATTATTTCTTTTATTGGCACTTGTTTTTCAGCCATGATGGTCATGACTGGACTGTTCAAGACAGATGCTTTTTGTATCATTTTTCCAGAGACTTTTTTATATAACATAATTGAAGTAGAACAAGTTGTTTTTTTTGCAGGACCAAATAAACCTAAACTAGAAGCTGGAATGATCATGTATGCATACATGCATACTATGTAACACTTATCATAGTTTAAATTAACATAATTATTTTTAGCTATACAAATATTAAGCAACATTTTAACAGAAGTTGACTGTAATAAATAGTAACTTCATATGAGACAAACTGAGATTTAGTTTTTTTAACTATAAAAAAAAAATCACGCTGTGACTTCAAACAGCGATGTGCAGTAAAAATTAATGCAGCTTGCCACTGAAGGTTCACAGCTCATCCTTGCTATTTACTTACAGTAAAGGAGAATTATGAGGTGAGTGTCACTCAGCCTCATAATCTGAGCAGACCTGTGACAATGAAACTGTCACAGGTCGGCTCAGTAGATCGGGAAGTGAGCGAACACATACCGGCGCTCGCTCACTTCTCGATGCTGTCACTGCAGAGAGGTGTGACAGGGGAGTGACTGGATTCTCCCCTCCCCTGTCCAATCCTCCAGCGCTGACTGGCGGAACGGACGGAGGAGGGGGCGGGTACAGCTGGCTCTGCCTCTAGATGGACAGAGCCAGCTGTCACTCACATAATTGTCGGGATCCGTTTCAGCTGCGGCGTCTCAGTATACTGCGAGCTGTAACTCGCGGTATACTGAGCTTTGGGTCACGATAGGACGCTAGTTTGTGGATGCTATGGGGAAAAGCCCTAACCCTATAGTTCTCCTTTAACGCCAACCACTGGGAAAACAGTTGAATACATAGCTGAAAAATATTTTAAAAGCTGTTTCCCCTGCCTAAGTGCTGCTGTAATGGGATTGCAAGAGAATGACACTAGTAGTATTTAGAATTTTGAATATATAACTGCATCAAATGATATGTCTCCAATCAGCCGCACAAGACCGACGTCCATAAAATCCAACTTTATTGTTGTAAATTCAATATAATAGTTCAAAATACAGCATGTACATCACCATGGCAGCTCTCCCATTCCAGCTCCTTTCACGTGTTTCACCACCTGGGCTTAATCATAGAGGTCACCTCTATGATTAAACCCAGGTGGTGAAACGCTTGATGGTGGTGTACACGCTGTATTTTGGACTATTATATTGAATTTACAACAATAAAGTTGGATTTTATGGATGTCGGTCTTGTGCGGCTGATTGGAGAGATATCGTCTAAGGAGTGCGAGCACACTGCAGCCTACACCCGATGTGCATATTGATTTGCAGTCTGATGGAATTGGAGTCTTTTGCCTTTTTGGAAGACTCCAAAAAGGCAAATATAAAAAAAAAAACTAACCATTTCCTTTGCATATCATTGGAAGCTTGAAGTTAATACAGCTAAGTAAAAGTGATCCTTCAGTGAACCAACCCCATATAGGATTACTGAATAATTTGTTGCAGCTGAACATTGTCATGTAAATGTTAATTAGGAGATGGTGTTTATCCTAAGTGGGTCCCATAATAATGTAGTAAAATTGCACCCATGTTAAAACATGAAGGAGCCCCCACCCCCCTTCCTCCTCCAGCTCACCCTTGATAAGTACCTGTGAAACCTTCTTTCTACTTGTATTACCATTTACTTTGAGGGTCAAAGACTACCCCAGAGATATAATGGTGATCATATAGCAGCATAATATCTAAATAGCAAGGCTGAGGTAACAGGTGAACTCTTGAGGTGGCACTGCATGCCAAAACTAAAATAAGCCCAGTAATATGGGAGAGAAACCGGTGGAGTAAACTACACTAATGGGAACAACTGGTGGCAACTTACCATTATTTAAAAAAAATAAAATAATTTAATTGTTTTATTTTCTTGCATAAACATAAAGAATATATTTAAAATTTGTCTAAAATAATAATTTGGTGAAGACAAGTTCAAGTCTTGCTTTGAATTGTATTAATTGAAATGATCATATAAACGCTTACCTTTTATAAAAATTAATGGGTAACTTGTTAATTCAGTTATTTAATTATGTGTTTATATTCCAGTCGTACTGGAAACTTTAGCAATTTCTAACTTCCACACTACTGTGCCTGAATTTCTTCGAAGTGAAGAGGTAATTATGCTGCTACACATATAAGCTGAATTGTATATTGAAAGTTGGAGCATTTCGAGCTTTTGGATGTTATTGGGTTGCATGTCTTTCTTGCCTGGGATGTTTCTCATTTTTATATTCACTGGAAAAGTCATAAACTAGTTCTGTGAATAATATACAGTCTCATTATGTACCCAGGAGCAAATTAGAGACAGCATGGGCCCTTGGTAGAGCTCAAGCTGTTGATCCTCACTCAAAATACATCTCTTTTTATCTGATCACTTACTAAAAAATCCTTTGTTTCTGAAGCATTAGCACACTTCATGTGCTTTCTTGGAATATTCCATGTCTTTAACAGTAGCCTTGTTTTTTCTCATGAGGACAGTATTTGTATTATTCAACTTTAAAGGGGACATTTCTGGGCCTTAGGCTACCGCCCAGATCAAAATAAGCTGCTGATGTACATAGCAATAATTCTGAGATCACCCAGTTAGACAAATAACAATGTGCAGATGGCAGTAATGCACAGCAACCCATCAGAATCCATCTTTCTCTGATCTGACAATAATCTGAAATTCGAGACGTTGGTAAGGGTGACTACACTTTGCACATGGGAATTGCTCTTTGCAATATTCTATTGAATAATCCTATCAAAAGTTGCGGAGAATAAAAAGAACATTCCCCAGATGATATTGTTGTTAAAATAATTATGTGTATTTAGATGCAAATCAAATGTGCAAACCAATGCATTGGAATTTGTCTGAAGGTGGAACAGTCCTTTAACGAACAGCTACCACTTATTTAGGTGTGCGGTACTGCATGGTAAAAAATGAAATAGCAGTTGTGCTATAGCAGGTGTGACGAGTCTTAAATTTGGGGTCAACCACATTAGACTAAAGACTATCTTTCAGGGCATATCAGTAATTTGCATGTTTTGTTAGAGAAATCAGATGATATTTTAGCAGAAAGCATTACAGTGTTACTTATGTTAGAAAAGCACTGGATTTATTGTGAATACAGTATTATAATTTAACTGTCAAAGTTTTTATTCCTGGGTAGTTTTCTATCAGATGGTCAGCTACACTGTAGCTGTCCCATACACATAAGGTCTTGCAATCGGAGTGTGCATGTTTAAGAGTAAACGTATGGGCGAATTGGAGAATGGTCAGATCACGTCTGCATGCCTGACCTACCTCTTAAGTCTATGGCAACCTCTTGGCCATTGATAACATGGTATTACAAATGCAGACAAAAGGCAGTAAAGGTGCAGGGTGGCATTCCATTTATTTTAAAGAAAAGCAATACATTTCAGGAACACAATGGGGGGAATTTATCATAGCAATTACAAGTGTTTGAACTTGCACGGAATATATTTGATGCACTTTTCTCCAGATTTATGTTGCTAGTGTAATGTTGTTCATAAATGAGGTTTAATAGACTCCAGGAAAGAAGACTTGTAACTCCAGGCAAAAAGTTTAACAGTAGCTTCTTGAAGAAGTGGTCATGGGGACTTCTTAGGTTGTGATTGTTTTGTTAGGTGATGCTCCAGTTTCTGACAGCCGCAGAACAAGTGCAGATGTAAACAGTTGCGAACGTTCATAAAACAGGCGCAAAACACGCACAATTGGAAAAACAGTGCAAGCTCTGGTCAAAACAGGTACATATGCTAAAAGACAGATATGCACATAAAAAATAAATAATCTAAGAGGCTAAAACTGTCGCAGTTGCTTTGATAAATTCCCCCCAATGTACTTTAGGTACTAACACTGTACAAAAAGCAGTTACATACAATAATCTATAAGAACCAATCAGAAAGCAACTTTGAGCAGGTAAAGTTGATTTTTCATTAGAAATTGCACTTAACATGTTGCTTCTAAAATGTTTGTACATATTTGTATCCACTGCATTTTGTTTGTTTTCAGACTTTTATCTAATTTTTAAGAAGAAAACAAGTCTAAATGCCCAAATCCTCTGCTAGGATGTGCATATAAACATCAATACTAATAACCAATAACCAGACATTTAATAAAAGAGTCATGGACCAAATCTTAGTATTGTGTTTTTATTTTTTTGTTTGTTTTGTTATTTTCATTTGTCTTGAGGCAAATAGAAGAGGTTATAGATCTTCTTAAAGTGGAACTGTGGGCAAGATAAAAAAAATGACATATATATAAAAAAAAATAAAAAATGACATATATGATGCAGACTGTTACTATTCTTAGCACTGTAGGTTTTCTAAATTCCCCATAACATATCTTTTACTACCTGTAGCCAGTAGA